AGGGGGGCCCCTCTGCAGCGGCTGTGCTCTGCCTCACATGGGGTACCTGCATCTTTTGGGGGGGGCGGTGTCCACCTCCCCTCGCAGACGCAGATGATGAACAAAACCCTGTTGAGTTCATGCCGTGATTCTCTTCAAAGTAAACGCACTGATGCGTCTCGCGCCGGTGGGGGGGGGTCGGTTACGGCGACGGCACTGCCGGAGGCTTCCCCCGGTGCTGACCGCCGCTCCTCTCCCCCCCGCAGAAGCTTTTCCGGCTGCCCGGCGGCCCGACGCTGACGTTCAAGGTGATGCAGGTGGGTGTTTACGGGAGCCCCATCCTTCCCTGCCGGCGCGAGGGGCGGCGTCTCGCCCCCTTCCTCATCCTCGCGTGTCTCTGTCCCCCCTCCAGTACTCGCTGATCAAGGACGTGGTCTCGTCCCTCAAGCGGCACCGCATGCACGAGCAGCAGTTCACCCACCACCCCTTGTTGGTCCTCAGTAATTTCGGTCTCCAACAAATCCAGGTCAAACTGATGGCCACCATGTTTCAGAATATGTTTCCCTCCATCAACGTCCACAGGGTAAGCGAGGTTGGAGATGTCCGTCCTCCTCCTGTGCTCCTCAGGGTTCAATTCTAGTTCTGTTCGATGTATTTATCAACGATGTGGATGCAGGAGTTGAATACCAAACTGGGAAGTGCTGGTGATTTTCTGGAGGGACAAGTTGCCTTGCAGAGGGATCTAGATAAAGCATTGGGCAATAATTAATGGGATGAAATTTAACAAGTCCAAATGCCAGATTCCGCCCCCGGGATGGAGTAATGCCGGGGACAAGGGATCTGGGGGTGCTGGTGGGCAGCAGGCTCAAGAGGGCAAACCGCATCCTGGGGGGCATCAAACACGGCACGACCAGCCGGTCAAGAGAGGGGATCGTCCCGCTGTGTTCAGCGTCGGCCTCACCTTGAGCGCTGGGAGGCTGAGGGGCAAGCTCGTTGCGCTCTGCAGCTTCCCGAGGAGGAGGGACACGGAGAGGGAGATGCTGAGCTCTTCTCCCTGGGATCCGGTGACAGGACGCGTGGGAACGGTTCAAAGCTGCGCCCGGGGAGGTTTACAATGGACATCAGGAAGCGTTTATTTCCCGAGAGGGTGGTCAAACACGGGACAGGCTTCCTAGAGAGGTGGTCGATGCCCCAAACCCGTCAGGGT